TTTTTCTTTATTAGATGATGAAAGTGCTAAATAATAACAATGAAAATGTGCTAGCAATGGCATCAACCTTCAGCAAAGAAGCAGTTTCTCATCTGGTATGTGTGCAGAACAGTGATGGCATCTACCAGACCCAGGCTATTAATATTCAAAATGTAACACACAAAAGTAAGCAATCTCTATTCAGTAAATCTTATAAAACCGAGATTAAAGGGAATGATAACAACTATTACTTCATTTAAATACGTACATAGAAGTTGGAAATTAATGTTTAAAGCTCTAAAAACACAAGGAGTTAAAAAGTTGTCCCAGAATTATGCAAAGTAAATTAAAAATAGCCTTGATATTATATTTATATCACAAATGCTCAGAACCTTATATTCTATTGATGATTATATATAATAATAAATTTGTTTGTATTTGTGGCTAACATCCTATTAATTTGATAAACTACAACTACATCATGTTCTATGTAGCTGTGATTTCTGTATGTACCACTTTGGTTTAATAGCTAATATGTTGATATTTAGTGTGCTTCATCTGTGCTTGTAGGAACTGGAGTCAGTTTTATTGTATTCACTGGAGCACTGAAAGCTTCCTCTAAACTTACAGCTAAGTCTACAATTGTAGAGGATGGCCTTCTTATTCAGATTCCTTCAGAAACTTTGATGACACTTAGAACAGCCTTAAGAGAAATGAGAGATTTTACTATTGCTTGTGGACCAGTTGATGCTTCAGAGCCAGATGAGGTGGTCATCTTAGAGTGGACCAAGGATAATAAAGATTGTAACTTAGGGTAAGAGATGCTATTTGCCACTTATTTGATTTTGTCGTTAGTACATTGTTCTCAGTTTTGTGGTTTAAATATCTATAAGAATTTTATTTGTTCTCATGGAAAATATTTAAAAGAAGTATACTTTAGAATTTTGAAACATACTACTAGTGATGTACAAAGGGAATTACTTGTCATCATATTAACCCTAGAATTACTGATGGAGTCCATGGACTCCATCAGCTTTTTAAGCACACTTTTTAAAAACTAATTATGCACATAACTGCTTGTGGTAACTACTTAATTGGTTAGAGAGTTCCTAATTACATGTCAAACAGTTTATCTATTTACTCTCTAGTTCACTATGTATTTTATATAGAAAATGAGTGCTTTCACCCAATTATTTGGTTAGTTCTTAACAGTAAAAGACAAAAACATAAAATTACTCTATGCAGTACAGTGTGTGTAGACCACACTAATTATGAATGTTATAAAGGCATGCCAGTAATGTGAGGGTTAATAATTAAATGTTATTAAACTTGTAAAGAATTATTGCACTTAACATAAGTATAACATTTGTACATTAAATTATAAGCATAGAAGAGTTTCTATTGTAATTAAATCACAAACACTTCAAACAGGGGACATTGTCACCAAAATACTAAGTAATATAGAAATTAGCAAATAGCATTTAACAGATTCAAAGTCTTGATTCTCCATAGGGTGAAAAGTCCTGTTGATGGGAAAGACTTAGATGGGATACAAAGTCTACGCATTCACTTAGGTACTGACTATGCAGGAGAAAGATACCTAATTCGCTGGACAGAAGTGTTTTTAATCAAAAATGATGATGATAGCAGTAGCAGGAGGTAAGATGGAATATAAACAGTTTATAGCTAAATGAGTATTAAAACAAGCTCTCTCCAGTGCTTTTCCAAGCTTAAAAACGTTATGTACAACTGAGAACTCCTGCAGTTGAAATAATTTTTCAAATTTAATTCACACACACACACACATGAAAAAAGACAAATTTTTCACAATTTTAAGTTTAAACAAATTACTTCAAAAGCCAAATCAGACTAACCATTCAATTTAAAGAGGGAATAAAAAATGCAGTTGTACAATCAGTTTATCCTTAAAGATAGAAATTACAGTGATAATGAACTTTTTAGAAAGTTATCTGAAAGAGAATCAAACTGAAGTTTGAGCACTGTAAATATAGAAGAAATGGAAAAGAAAACTGAAAATTTCTAGTTATGGTTGTTTTTTCATTGCCAGAGGAAGATGTTAGAGAATAAAATAGAACATTATTCAAATATGCAAGCAGTGTTAAACTGTATAACAATGAAGTCTGGAAATCAAAACATAAACTAAAATATTTATGTCTATACATAACTTTATTCTTTACATCACATGTAAATGTATCTTATCACTGCCATGTGTTAAAAGAGTAATTTTATCAGTTTTTATTCCGATTTATCATCAATTCATTCATAACACATAACGGCTATCACATATAAAGAGGAGTTCCTAATCAACACTTAGATCCTTAGACACCAGTTTTTTTTACCACCTTTATCGTGGTGAACTTGCGTAGAAAATTAGTATGTTTTTACAATCATTATCAAGATAAAATAAAATGGTGTATTCAAAGAATACATTTAAATTTTTTCCAAACTAAATGTGTAGTGGCCTCCCACATTGTACAATACTTCTACAACAATAGCACAATGTCATAATGGATGCCTTGTTAATAGTTTTGAAGTAACCTGAAATTTTAACCATACTAACTTACCTAAAGAAGTCGTTTTTCAAAGTAATCTACACAAAGTTTAATTACTGCCAAAAGATTCTTTACAATCTAATGAATAACTGTATATTAATTCCAATTTCATTAATAATTATGCATTGCTGTTAAAAGAAGAAAAAAAAATCACTTTTGACCCTCTTGCATCAGGTTTGTCAAAGTATGTGTGTCATGACCTTTTACAGAGTTACATTCAAAATTTAATGAAAGTACTTTATTATAAATGTATATGAATAAACTTGCCATCAAAACATAATTAATAAATGAGGTTTTAATATTATATAAGTTTTAAGTTCTTACTTTTAACAGAAAACAAGCTGAGGCACCCATCCTACATCTGGTAGCATAAGGATTAAATATAATGCTTAAACTAATAAATTAAATCAAGTATTTATATTTATATGCATAATTTATTTCACACAATTTACTTTGAAACTACTTTATTCCACATTATAGAAAAGGTGTTATAATTACTTTATTACTTTTACTCATCCCTCTCTACAGCCTCAGTGTTTGTTGATACTCTAAGTGCTTTTTGATAAACCATATCAGAAGTTCTTTCTCCTTCCTGGGCCAAAATAAAGAGATTTCTTGGGTATTCTATTCTTGAACACCCAACTTAGAACTGACCATGTGAAAAGTA